GTGGACATGTGGGGACGTGCTTATTAATCTTTGCGTGCGAAAACTTACCGCCAATTTGAACTCGTTTGACCTAACACGTCTTGCAGTTGGAAGGCGGTTCCAAAATTCGAGCATGATAGTGCATATAAACACGTTATTGTGCTTCTCTTCTTAGAGTTACTATATAGGATTGTGCATATTCTGAAATTTTAATGCTTACAAAAATATTCTCTTTGGACGATTAGCCCCGATTTGACAAGAAGGTCATGGTGAGAATTGGACTCATATATATGCCCTTGACCCTCTTTTGTATATATATATATATCGAACGTCTCTCGTTTGGCTAGATAGCTAGCGCCGGTGTCACCATAAACGACAAAAAAAAACTTCTATTGATAAGGAACCATTGTATACAAACTTCATATTCGAGATATTCTTTTGTTCATATTACCATTTGTCGTGACATGCGGAGGGAACAATGCATGTAGCATATCCGCACATTCCAGCTACTTGTCGGCACGACCACCTCTATTCTACGACTGTGAACGGTGTTCCAGAAAGCCCGACACGTATGTGCTCCTCGCACGTGCGATGGCGTGCAAGTACACCGACACAGATCCAACAGTTGCGCGAACAACTGTAATTTGTCGTACGCATAATACATTGGCGCGGCGAAAACAAAATCCCTTGGAGGGTCACAACTGTAAAGTGACGAAACAATGCATCATGTTGTGGAACTGGTGCTCTTGTGGGTGCATTGCTACACATGAATTGACTTGCCAAGTCACATGTCGACCCGGGAGCTGGGCCACATTGATCCCCCGTTGTTTGGACCGGAGAGGCACACAGTATACCCCTAGGCGCGCGGTACAAAGGCATGCAATAGTGGCCATAGTTTGATGAGACTCAACATGGTTTTGGCGCCAGCTCGAGTGCACAGCACAATAATGGAGAATTTGAATTGCTGCCTAGCCATGTTAACTCGGCGGCTAGGAATCTTGGATGTGGGCAAGAGCACACATCGTAGATCTATTGAGGAGATGTGGCCATGGCTAGGAGACATGAGGTGCAGTTCTATGCAGAAAAAGCTCCCCCATCATCCCAAGTCGGAGTATGCAGCCCTAGACCAGTGAGCTCCTCTGACTTGTGTCGCCGAAAAGTGGGTCTACTCCACTATTTCTCACGTTGCGATGCTGTTTCAATAAAATTTACGCATCCATGCATGCCTTAACTTTCTTGCAAATGGCTTGCAAGGAGTAGGAACACCAAGGAGGTATTGCATGCGAGAATGGACGGGGGGATCTAACAAAGGTGGCGCATCGGAGTCGTTCTTAGATTTTGCTGGACTTTCCCGGGCAGTCTGGCTCGGTGGATCCGTGCATGTGGTCTTCCAAGTCGCACGTACGCCGGACCAGGACCACGCACGTACGCCGTGCCATGGCATGGCACGGCTCCTCCAGGCATCATGCGTCCGGCCGGGCATGCAAAGCTCGACCGGATCGATCGGAGTCGGGTCGTCCATGCATCCTGGCCGACACAAGCTCATGGCTCCTGGTCCCATCCGTGCACCACCAGACACCCCTGGACCCTGGCTCTGGCCGCATCTACGTACGTGCATGCATGCTGCCGAACATAACTTGGTGCTCTTTGGTTGCTAGCTACCTCTTGATCCGCAGCATAGCTAGGTCGCTGTCACGACCAGGTCAAACACCAAAACCGGTTATTTTATGTTTTCATGCATGCATGCAAATGCAATGCAATACATGTCGATCGATCATTTGCGTACGCTGTACCAATCAAATGCTGCTGGATCAGATCTCAATAGTACGAGGTACCACGATGCTGTTTTTTTTTTGTTTTTTTTGAGAATGAGGTACCACAATGCTAATCAACGTAGTACGTCGTGCGTGGCTTCGGATATGGTATACGCGTGGCGCCCGCTACGGCCTATGTACACATGGGCCGCCTGCCGAGGTAACGTGCATGGCAGGCCAGGGATCGTGGCCGGCCGCGTGCATGCATGCACCAATGTGATGTGTACATATAAAAACGAATGTATGTATGTTCGCCGGCCAGTACCGGGGCCGCTCGCTACTGTGTAATAAGGCGATCGACACCATGGCCTTCCTATCTGTGTGCCCCGCCTCGGTGATTAGGCCGTTACTGGTCGGACCCAGCAGCGACACATTTGCATCCTCAACCCGTTGCAGGTCGTGTTGATGCTCTAGCTTTCACTGGTTAGACCCGGCATTCAGGATAAGAATCCTGGTCCTAGTTAGTGCGTTCTTCTTTCGTAAAGTTGTTTTTTTACAGACAGGATTAGCTTTTTTTCAAAACAAAAGCAAAAGATTTGCCTCATCAATTAATTAAGAGAAAAATAGAGTTTGATTGTTTACAACCCACGATAACATGCCACATGGCAACTACTCACGTACTATAATGTCCTCTAGTTTCTTAGCTCCCGCCGTCACCCAAAGTCTAGCCTCGGTAAGAATGTTGTTGAGTAGGATCGGCGGCGGCGCGCTCTTGTGACAGAAGATGCGTGCGTTCCTCTCGTTTCAGACTGTCCATGAAACAAGCATTGTGAGGGAGGCCATGGCCTTTCTAATGAGAATACCCAAGCCGGTCCTGTTCGCCCATCATTCCTTGACGGAGGCTTCAAGGTGCCAACTAGAAGGGTCCATATGGTCAAGACTCAGCTTGTCGATGACCAATCTCCACAGCCTGTTGGTGAAGCAGCACTTGAAGAAAAGGTGAGCCCCTGTTTCTTGCTCCCTCCCACGGAGAGGCACTAGTAGAAAAATGGTCAAACGTGAAGCACATTAGTGCCGATTTAAATTTGAGCCGGCACTAATGTGTACATTAGTGCCGGTTCCAACGGCTAGCCGGGCAGCTCTCATTAGTACCGGTTCATGGCGAACCTTTAGCACCGGTTCGTGCCACGAACCGGTACTAAAGTGAGTAGTGGCAGGATGTTGTCAATCCGGGGCCCCTCCAGCACCTTTAGTACCGGGTCGTATCACGAACCGGTACTAAAGGTCGTCCTACATAGACCCTTCGTCCACCCGAGCTCGCTCTGTTCTTCCCCTTTCCCCTCTCCTCTCTGTTCTTTTCCCTCTTCCTCTCAAGCTCATCACACATTTTGCCCATAATTTGAAGGCTCCCATCCATTCAAATGATCA